GTGCATACAAATGCTACATGTATGCCTAAATTAGCACATACCATCTGCTTCTTATGCTCAAAAAGAAGCTTCTGTTAACCATTTTAAAAAATGAAAGATCCCTTTGAAGACAAGCATGTTAGAAATAAACATTTTTATTGAATTCATTCATTATACTTGGGTAAGCACAGTAAAATACAGTGATGAGCACAATATATAAAACTTATTTTCCCAATACTATAAATGTTTATTCAAATAACTTTCTTAAAAAAATTTACCGTCATAAAATTTGTCTTTCAAAAAGACAAAGAGTGAAAGATACTTTTTTAAAAAATCAGAGAAACAAACATCACAAAAGGAAGAAAATGTTTCCCATATTGAAAACAAATAAAGGTTTTGGAATATGCTTTTACAAGGAATATAAAATTTTTGAAACAGGGTCTTGCTTTTAGGCCAGGCTGGCCTCAAACTAATGATCCTTCTGCCTCTGTGTTTTGAGTGCTGGGATTACATTAGTGCAACACCACACCCAGAGGACTGCAGAAGATATTACATGTGTTAACACGGATAGAAAAATTATATAACTAGAAAAACTAGCAGCTTTGAGAAGTCTAATGGATAAAAAGGACTAAAATACATAAATATTAGTTACAGAAATTATTTTCATTCATATGTTTATGTCTATATGTGTGTACAGGCGTATATTCGTATTTGTAAGTGACCATGGAATTAGTGATTATTAGTGGCAGTATGGAAATAAATAAGACCTCTGCTTTAAGATTTTAGTCTGAGAAGCAGAATTAAGGTCAGACCTATCTTGTGGCAGACAACTGCAATAATAATTTCAAAAAAGAGAGTAAATTTTTCCTGAAAAAAGGTGCTAGGGAATCAAGAGTGATGAAACTCCTTTTATAAAGGGTTTTAAGGCCTAATGAGAAAGGTGGGAATTGACAAGTGTGCTACCGTCGATATTTTTAACAGCAGCAATACTCATAAGATTTATACTGTCACATGCAAGAGACTCCCCCATGTCTGCAGGGATTCCTTCTTAGAAGATCTGAGGATGCCTGGCTACTATTTATGCCAAATTCCTTATATACTTCATTTTTCTATACATACATACCTATGATAAACTATAAATTAGACGCAGTGAAAAATTAACAACACAAGCTAATAATAAAATACAGCCATTATAACAACGTACTATAATAAAATTCACTTAAAATTTCTGCATGGCTTCTTTCTGAGATTTTCTGCTTAATATTTTCAAAGCACAAGTAAGTGAAACTGCAGAGAGCAAAGCCACCATAACTGATGCAAACTGCTCTTTGTTCCAGGTATCATTGAGTTTTCTTTACAAAACCTCATTTCATCTTTTCAGCTGTCCTGTGGTGATGGGTGCTATCAATGAGACTATTTCATAGATAAGAAAAGTTATGGAAAACATTTCCAAGTTCATACTGGTGGTACTAAGAAAGACAGCTGGTAACGGGCTCTCTGGGTGACATGAAAACCACAAAACTCCATTGCTTTTACTATTTTATTCAAAGTGTTTTTTCCATTCTTTCTCCAGGAAAATCCAATGATGAATCCATCTCTATTAAGAAAGATTTACTTTATTTTCGGAACGGTTGTGTTGATAAGATTGTGCTCACCTTTCTGCAGGAGACATGAAATTAATTTTCTTAGGATATAGCATTTAAAAATAAGATTATCAAATATTACTTGGGTGGTTGTTGAAGATCTTAGATCTGGTTCTCATTTGTGAAATGCTGTAAAACACTGAAGAAGGCATTCAGGAAAGAGGCAAGAAAGTGGATGGTGAAATGCGGTTTCAAAGTGAAATGTTTAACCTTCAAATTAATGGAAGAAACTTTTCCAAACTTATACAAACCATGTTTATGATAATGTCTGCTTCTACTAAGTGATACACATTTTTAACTAAGGATTTGCAAATAAAAATCTTTATTAAACAGGAACATGAGCTAAACAGTAGGCCTCTTTAATGGGTGCTGGTTGTACTCCATTATCTTAACCCTCTACTCCTAGTTTTTGAAAGAAGCTTAGAATAATCATTGAAACATAAGACTGCTTATTTTTTATTTCATTTTATTTTTTATCATATTGTTGTACTGGGAATATATTGTGACATTTACAAAAGTTCTTACAATATATCATAGTTGAATTCACCCCCTCCATCATTCTCCTTTAGAGACATAAGACTTTGGAACAAGAATTCATGAGTTCATAAGGTAGTACAACCACTTTGGAAAACAATATTGAGGCTTCTTAAAAAACTACACATAGACCTGCCATTTGATCCAGCAATCCCATTCCTGGGGATATACAAGAAGGAATGCAACACAGGTTACTCCAGAGGCACCTGCACACCCATGTTTATTGCAGCACTATTCACAATAGCCAACTTATGGAAACAGCCAAGATGCCCCACCACTGACGAATGGATTAAGAAAATGTGGTATTGATACACAATGGAATTTTACTCAACCACAAAGAAGAATGAAATCTTATCATTTGCAAGTAAATGGATGGCACTGGAGAACATCATCTTAAGTGAAGTTAGTCAGGCTCAGAACACCAGAAATCGTATGTTCTCCCTCATATGCTCATTATAGACCCAAAACAAACGCAGTAGTATTATTATTTTCCCCTTAGTCACACACTAAGGGGAAAATGTGTATAGGAAGAATAAGGAAAGGGAAGAAAACCTAAAACTTGAATGTGGCTGATGTGCTCACTGTAGAAGAGTGAAAAAAAGTAATCTTAAACTGACTGAAGCCACTATGGGGAGAATGACCAGGAAGTAGTGAAGAGGTCTGGCAGAGATGAACCAGTTTGGGTTGCAATACACATGTGCATGAAAGCAATGCTAGGAATCTCTGTATAGCTATTGTTACCTCAAACTAGCAAAACCGCTATGTCTTTCTTATTATGTCTTATGTTTCTCTTCAACAAAATTGGAGCACAAGAAGGGCAGAACAGGTTCTGCCCCGAAGACGGGGATGGGGGAGGTGGCCCAAACAATGTATACACATGTAAATAAATGTAAAAATGATAAAATAAAAGAAAGAAAAAAAAAGATCTACCTCTACTAATTACTACTGTTAACTGCTTATCACCTAAATAATGAAAGTAGTAATAGCACCTACCTTCTGTCACAATGAGAAATTTTAAGCGAAATGAGTTAAAATTAATGAATAAAATTAATTAAAAATTTGAAATAAACATATCTGGCTTGTAGTCAGTGTTGTATGAAGCATTTGTTAAATTGAATATATTTCTGTAGATTGAACTGTAAATAACCATCATGTACATGTACCATGAAGGATTAGTCAAGACTGAAAGTTGCTGTGTATTACAGGAGACGGGTGCTGAGGAGGAATGATCAGATATTTGGAGTAATCAAATGATCATAGATAGGAGAAACTATAAATGTCATGATGTGCTTTTTGTTCTCTGGAAACCATCCATCTGAAAAATAGAAGGATAATATCACACTGATCACCATACGTTACCATTTTTTCCAATAAACCTAAAGCACGTCTCCTTACAAAAACTCCTCTTGGGAACAGAAAGCATAACACTGTCTTACAGTTATTCTTTTGAAAAAAACTAACACCAAAATCATTAGTGGTCAAGAAGGTCAAAAATCTTTTGTTTTGTTAAGTAAACATCGTATCTTCACAAGTAACAAAGCCTTAAACAGTTCTCCAAATGTTATTGAAGTCTGCCTTTTCAGGGTCTGGAAAGTCGGACATTAAGCAAATCATTCACAATAGGTCACCTGGTTTATGTCTCACTAGATACATTATAGCTAGCCTTGCATATTACCTGGTACATTACAAGATGAAGGAACAAATTACTAAATTCACAAAATCTACAAAAAAATCCAGAAAGTACATTGTGCCTCATTTAGGGTGACCAGAAAATAGATGGTGAGTGAAATTAGAATTTCTGATAAATAATGAATAATTTTAGCATAAATATCTCCCAAATATTGCAGGGGAACTACTTAAACTAAAAGTTATTCATTGTTATCTGAAATTGTCACTTCACTGAGTAACCTGTATTTGTTAAACTAGTAACTCTAGTTATTGTAATAATTAAGGTTTCATGTTTATTCAACTAGCCATTTATTAACAGGTATTTGTTGCTAAATTAAATTATTAAATGATGAATTGCATTTCTGCCATGTGCCAGGAACAATTCTATGCACCAGGAACTCAGCAATAAATTATACTCGTGGAGTCTCATTTCATGGAACATTTCTTCCCATGAGATATTATGGAAGTTGAAAATTAGTGTAATATTAAGTTGTCAAGACATTTTCAGTTAATAGGTGCCATGAAGGAAATCAAGGATCATGACAAGGTAGAGGATGACTCAAAGGCTTACCCTAGACAGAGAGTGAAGAAAAGAGGCCTGTCATGGCAAGAGCTAGGGAAAGGACATGGAGGAAGAGGGAGCAGCAAGTGCAAAGACCATTAGCAGAAATGAGTTTGGCTGTCACAGGACAAGTGTGAAAACCAATTTGCTTTGTGATGGACAGGATGCTGAGGACTACTGGAATTGTAGTATAAGAAGAGTAAGAAACTGAAGCAAGAGCCAAGTCTTGCAGGAACTCCCATTCCACAATATAGCATTTGGATTTTATTCAGATGGAATGAGAACCAATAAAGTGGTTAAAATAGTGAGTGATCTGAGATGGAATCTTTGCAAAAGCCCCCTTGGGTTGCTTTGTGGAAAATGGATAAGCAGATTGGGAGGTGGAGAATGAATGTGGAATACCAGTAAGTAGGCAAGCAAGGAGATGGGCTCATAGCTGGCTAGTGACTAAGTGGATGAATGGGAGATACATTGTGAAAGAGGAAACCTAGCACTTAATGGATGATTTTAACTTAAATTTTTAACAGAAATCACCCTGTTTCTAATTCAAGATGTGCAGATTCTATGTATCTCCCATCTATAAGAACACCTTGATCACTGTCCTTCCTTCTCAGTTGCCTATATTGGCATCTTCCGTGGTTAGCCTGTACTTCCTGGAGCTCACGGATGTCTTCAAGCCTGTGCATTCTGGATTCAGCTGCTATGACCGGAGTCTTAGCATGCCGTACATTGAACCAACCCAGGAGGCCATTCCATTCCTCATGCTGCTTAGCTTGGCTTTTGCTGGACCTGCAATCACGGTAAGAAATTCTGCCCCCATTGCATCCATCATTCCAGGAAACTAAAAATGCCCACGTTTGTGTAATAAATGTCTCAAAACAAGCAAAAGGTAAATTCTAAATTTTGAGCCTGAAACACCATGCCTTTGGGATATTTTGACAGTGTCCCATGGTTAATAGCTTTAAAAGTTTTGGTATTAAAAGTTTTAAGAGATGGTATGATTTCAAAAATGATTGCTGTCTTTGTATACTTTTACATGTCATTCTGAAAAGTTTTGCAGTTGTTTAATTCTCCTTGAATGGCTAAACATGACATTTCTGATATATAATTCTAATTAATGTATTTTCATGTGTTTGCTTGCTATCTGAAGTCTGGAAAACAGGAAAAAACAATAACATAGCCATATTTCTCTAAGTGCACTTTGATATCATTTACAGTTTCATGTTTTCAAGAAACATTGATTATAAATATTGAGCTTCACCAACTATAACAAGGTCATAACTCACCTGCCGTACCATTTGAGCCTCACCTCCAGTCCTATCTGGGGTTGGTGCCAGTGGAAGGAGGGAGGATATAAGGAAAGGGTGTGGGAGGGTGAATATGATAGAAATATTACACACTCATATATGAAAATAGAAAAATGCAAACTGGTTAAACTATTCCAGGAGCCGGGGAAAAGGATAAAAGAGAATGACCGGAGGGGTGAATTCAACTATGACATATTGTAAAAATGTTTGTAAATGTTGCAATGGATCCCCAGTACAACAATAATAAAAAATTTTAAAAAAATAAAAACAAAACAAAAAATTCACCTGCCTGGCATGCACACTCACGAACTCACACACTTGCACACACACATAAAGACACACATAGAGAACAAGAGGCTTTACCTTCAGATAGGCATATGCATTTTAAAACAGGTACACAAAAAAAATGCCCTAATCTACTGCAAATGAATTAAAACATAGTTTTATGTGTTAATACATACCACAAATAACACACTTTTAAGTAAATTCATTAATAAATTAGATTATTCACGGCCTTCTACCATCTCTTCTGCCCCAGATGCCACCTAAAAGACAAGGAACACATTTCCAAAGTAGTAATATCTTTTCCTCATAGTGGGAACTCTTGTTTTGCTGGGATCGTGCTCATGAAGATCAGAGCAAATTGTTATCAAATAATTAAAAGTTGCACTTAAAGTTTTTTATAAGATACTATAATGAATTGGCCTATTGAGTTTTAATACATAAGCAGTTTAAGAAAAGTCTCTGCATAAACATTCTATTCTCTAGAATGCCTTTGTAGCTAAGTATTTGTTTTAAAAAGTTTCCTCTATATTAAATAATCATAGCATGCTATTTATACTCTAAATAAATTATATAAAATATTCTCAGAAAATAAAGTCAGAACTTAATTTTATATAGAAATTTGCTATATTTAAATAGCTTCAGGTTTGTCTTAAGTAGTAGAGTGCCTGCCTGGCAAGTGTGAGGCCCTGAGTTCAAACCCCAGTACCACCAAAATAAAATAAAATAAAAGGCCTCAAAACAGTTTGACAGTAACTCCACAGTGATTGAAAGTATTAATGATGTACGTGGAAGGAGTTGAGGCTTTAAGAGAGACATTTTTAAGTGGTGCTATTGCTCAAAACACAGCATCTCCCTTTTCCAAAAGACTTTTCAAAACTTCCTATCACTTAGTAAGAGCAGAAAGTATGATTGCTTTAAATCTATCAGAGAAGAAAACATTTCTCTCATTTGGGGAATAGTGCCTAAATTTATTTTAATCAATATATTTGAAACAAGATATGTAAAGTAATACACAAATGTTCATGACCCTGCTAAAAACACTGTCCTGATAATGATTTAAATAATTTACTTTTTATATTTCTGCAAGTCTTTATTCTGCCAGAGCATCGTATCAAGTGACTTGGAAAGCAGGTCTAATTTTGACGCTCCCTGTCATGTTTGTTGAGCTCACAATGCTTCCTTTGTTGATGTCAGTACAGTCTTGGGATCATTGACCTTGACGTCATCGCTGTGGTCCTGCTTCTGTTGACTCCCTCACTTCCCATCACAAACTTTCCTTATGAAGTTTAAGGATGTTTGCTAGGGGATTGGGGTTGAGGCTTTCTTTCTTGAGACCTGAGAACTCACCATAGCTGCCTTCCACTGAGCCAAGCTGGGGAACCCATGGCCAACTCCTTCCCCGGACATCTCCGCAGCGCCTCCATGGCTGCTGTGCCCCCTTAATGGAAGGAGAAGCAAACAAGGGAAGCATGTGCCCTCTCAGGATCCTAATTTTCCCTGTGTCACTTGAAAGCTTCAAAGTGCTCTGGGATGTCAGGACTTCTTTTCTGCATACTAGGTTCCTAGGTTTTGAGTAAACAACTCCAAGACAAATTTTGATAGTGCTCAGCTCAAACATTGTTCACACCTTTCACTCCAAATACATAAGACACTTCTTAGTGATTTTATTCTAATTTCATTCTCTTTATTTTTAAGGCCTTCTCCCAAAATGTAAATTTTCTTGACATTGATCTTATGGTATCTAGAGTCATTTTGTTTTAGGACCATAATTCTGTTTCTAATCTTACCACATACTAACGCTTAACTCCACTGCCTTCCTATGATAATAACAGAATGTAACCTTTGACTTTCAAGGGAGCCATTTTATTTTCATCTTTATGATAACAAATACCCCATTCCAAAAATGGAATTGTGGTGAGGCAGGAAGGCTGAAGGAACCCTTAATTTGAAAGGGACATTTGGAGGAGACTGCTGTGAGGAGAGGGGCTTGCTGTTTTCACCCCTTCACAAGGAGAGAAGACAAATAAAAGATGCCACATGAGCAAGAGTCACTCTTTAAAGGGACTTTCATCTAAACAAATGGAAGATAACTAATTTTTATGCAGGCATTTAAATATGAATCACTTAATGTTTGCTTCTCAGATATTTTTATTCTTTAAGATGTGTTTAAAATTAATTTGTCTTCCTGATGTTATATATAAATGATAAAACTGCTTTTCATGTCTGTGAAATACAGAATCTTATTTCTATGAAATTCCCTTCAGTTGTAAAATTTCATTCTTAACATTCAATTTTCATTAAAATGAAACAAGCATTTTGTTTAGGTCCTGTGGAAGTTTTTTTTCTCAGAGAAAACAACACAGAGTTTTGGGTTTATTATGAATCTTCAGAAGTCTACATGAATAGAGAAAAATGTGTATGATTTCTTCCTTGAAATACAACTTTTACATATCATTTAAGAATGTAATTTTATAGGATAATTCTATCAGAATTTGATTATAACTCCTAGAAGTAACCTTGGCTTTAGGAAACTATATAGTCAGCATGTAGAACCTTAGATCTTTTTGGACTTCTAAAAAAACATTCATTAGAAATTCAAACATTGAAGACATTATGATAAATATTACAATACTTTTGTTGCTTTGGTTTGTTTTCTAAGACTTTTTGGATTGTGAGTTCTCCCTAGTTCAAGGTCAAGGTATTTCCTCATTTCCTTCCAACCTCTCCCCTGGAGCAGTTATTACAGAATCTCTTCCCCAAACCCACCCATGTTATTTCAGACACACACACACACACACACACACAATTGTGTTGCTTCTTTTTAGGGCTAGGTACAGCACAAAATGAAGTGTCATGAAAAGACAATTGTCATAAACTGCTTTTTGTTTACAAATGACAGCAGCAACAAAAAATTTTATTGTCAAACCTAAACCCTTCAACTCTCTTGCAATGGTCAAGCATGCCATTCAGAAGGAAGAAATAAGGTGGAATATTTGGAAATACACTAAGAAGTATGTCTTATGCTGAGAATTCTCTTTAAACCAAACTGAGTCAGTTTGAAAATTTGTGCAATGACACAGAGGTCAAGCTTAATTAAATGGAAGAATGAAGAGAAAATGAATGTGGTCCTACATGAGAAGAACAGCTGGATGATGTGAAAATACTGATCAGAAACATCTATCCATATTTCAAAATCAAGCTAATAGCATTTATGCACACTCTTGACACAGGCATTTTAAGCATATTAAAACAATTAAAATAAGACTCCTGAAATCTCAAGATTATTTGTGATGATGACCATTGTATTATATCATAAGACAACTTTCCATAATGGCACTGTACAATGAATTCTTATTTAACATTCATGGACAAGGTGCGACTCATTACCCATGTAATTGAAAAGAGAAAAACAAAGTCATTCACAGATCATTATTGACAAAGTGAAGATGAAATCAATTTATTCACAATACCAAAATGTCTTTCAGGAATGGGTGGTTAATTTACTGAAATGACTAATTTAATATAGCCATCATAGTATTCTGAGTAAGTGACATATTGTATCACATCTGGAGTATAGAACGTACAGCAGTTCCATGTCTAACTTGAAGTGATGACGGAGGATGTTATTTGTCAAGAAGTAAATATGCTTAACTCAATGCTCAGTGCTTTGAAATAAATCCCTCTTGGTTATTTCTACACTGATTGATCCTAAAGGTTGCCATAATCATGTCAAATGATTTCCACCCCTGTGGTTATAGGCAGAGTTCCTTAAAATACTATTTTTAAATTTTTTTGGTAGAAATTAAGATTCTTTATAATGACCCATCCACCATACTGCCTCCAGAACTAAACATACCAATTTGAACATTTGAAGCAGAGTGGCATTAAGCTTTTTAGTCTTTTTAAAGGCATTGTAAACACTATAATTTTAAGCACTCCGAAAAATGAATGTTAAGCTAGTAATGAGAACTGAGAAGTTTCCCCTGGAAAATCTAACCTTAACTATAGTCTCAGCTCTAAGTATGGTTATAATTTTCACTGTGACAGGATCACCACATCTGAGAGACTGTTAATATCTTGTGAAACTCTACTTTCTTCCACTTCACACATTTCCACAGATGGACATCAATTTCACAATATCTCTTAGGTATAATAATCCTGGCTGTTTAAATTTTTTGCATAGATAAAACTCATAAATTACTCTTACTTCTATTGTACAGAATAACTGGCACGCAAAAGCCCAGGGTAGCAAACACAAGTCCCATAGCACAGGTCACAAAGACAAATCCCAGTGTGCCAGGCACAGGCTGAACAATGCAGCTAAAAGGTAAATAAGAAATGGTTCTTCCTCAGTGTCCTGGTCAAGTGAGAGACAACAAAAAGAACCATTAAATGCACTTAAATAAAGCTGCCCCAGGGTAAGAGCAACGTACCAAGGGTGCCACCTAGGAGAATCACAGACAGGGTACAGGAAGTCTTTCTGAAGGAAATGATGCCTACCTAGGATCGACTTCTTTCCCTGATCTCATATATCCTAAAATCCTACAGCAAAGGGCACCGTTCCTTCCTTTAACCTAGTCCTGATACTCCGGTGTGAGTCTCAATCCACTGTGAACACATTCTCTAAATTGTCTTATCCTAGAGCATACCAGCCCACCCATCTAAATTTCTTTTATAATCTTCATTCTCCAATATGATAGCTGGTGACCACATATCAAATAATTGTTTTACTCTAAATTTAAGTTTATTTAATTTTTAAAATTAATGCAATACAATGAAATATTTGCAGTAGCTACATTTCAAGTGCTCAACAGCCACAAGTAGGGAGTGGCTATCATATCAAACAATGAAAACCAGTTTCTTCCATGCAGAATATTTTATGGGACAGCTATGTACTAGATAGTACTTTTTTACACTCACGCATGCTTCCTGTAGACTGATTCTTCTGGTGAATTCCAAATGGCCCATTGATCTACTCTGCTAGAAAAATGCTCATGATTCTAACCCTTATTCTTATTTTAATCATCCCTGGTCATCTTGTTTTCATTATTTTAGGGAAAAATGCCAAGACTTTAAGAGTTAGATGTCACTGGGTAAATACTGGGCAGTGGGCTAATACCATTGTAATACCACCTGACTTGCTGCAGCTTTAGTGAAAAGTCTGGATGACCTCACACCTTCCCAGTGCAGAGGTAACCTAACCTCTTTGCAGGATCCCGAGAGCTTACTTCTCACTGCTTGCTCAAATTCTCAGGGGAAATTACTTACATCTCTAAAGCTTTTAAGAATAATACATGTCTACAGTGTTCAACTGATGATATGTTAAGAGCTATTACATAATTCTCTTTTATTTGTTAGTATGACAGACACACCCATACTCTTTTGCCTGAACACCTCTTTGTCTTTGTAGATCATGGTGGGGGAAGGAATTCTCTACTGTTGCCTGTCTAAAAGGAGAAACGGAGCTGGGCTGGAGCCTAACATTAACGCTGGAGGATGCAACTTCAACTCTTTTCTTAGAAGAGCTGTCAGATTTGTTGGTGGGTGTGGGGAACTACAAACAAAGGAAATGTTTTTTTCTAATCGAAATGGTATATTTAATTACAGATATTAAGTCTCTAAAGCTGTAATTTAGATGTGTAATCTTGGTGTGTAATGAGTTTTACAGTATACAAGAAACTGGTAAAACTCTAAAATTTAGGGTTTTGTATCTGAAATATGTTATTTACAGTTCTGGTCCTTGTTTTGAGAGCTAACATGCCACATATTTTCTGTGCTCTTTTGCCGTAGCTCTGGTTGAAGCATGAATTTACTTTAACAGGGTTTCACTGAATAAATGTCAACAGGCCATTAAGAATGGATAACTCTTCAGAAATCATTTCAGTCCACACCAGTGGCTCCATTTCTTGGAGTATTCTCATCCAGAAGTCACTGCACATGGAAATGTCACCAGAGAGTGCCACATCATGACTGTTTTTCCTTGGTTGGAAACTTTACCTCCTATTTTTACGAGACTCTAGGAAATCTACATCTGAACCAAATTGATTTCTAAATCTTCATCTCTTCTAATTACCATGGGGCCATTTAAATGAAGGTTGAATCACAGGCCTTTGTTTTAAAAACTGACTTCAGTGGTCACAATACATCACAACAACCAGAGTGTTTTATATTCATTCTCCAAAAATTAAAAGTTTAATTTTTAATTATAAGATGTCAGCTCAAAGAAGCAAGTGTCTTCACTTAATATCTACTAAACCTTTTCTCCCTTGAGAGGAAATATCTTTTCCAAGTCATTCCCTAAGCATCATATCTAGATGGTAAGAATACAACAGTCTCCCTAGCAGCATCTGAGGCAGAAAGTAAAAGTACAGGACACATAGCTGATCTCCGAAAAAAATCTTCTCTAACATAACAAAATTCTGTGGACCAAGAGGCATAAGCACTCTCTGAAATGCTGTCAGCAATCCTAGCCTCCACTGGCCTGGTGTTTCTCACTTACAAAGGTGAAACACATGGGTTTCCCTTCTTATGTAACTTCTTCACTAAGCCCTTGAATCCAGAAATTAGCATGCAGAAATAAAGTTTCTGTGTCATGAGTTCCAGATGTGTGGACAGAGAAGGAATTGGGGCACTGCTGGTTAGATGACAATAGCCAGAGAAGAATAAATATCAAACAGTACATGTGCAAGCCAGCACTCTTAGTCTGGAGGTAGCTGATGAAGAATCACCCAGTGTCTCTCAGAATGAATTTTATGAGCAACTCATGAGTCTGAATCAGAGGTCAGTCAAGTCAGAATGAATTCAAGAGACTCAAGACAACTTGGAGGGGGTGGGTGGACTCCAGATCGTATATATGTGAACAGAGAGCAAAGCTCCCAAACTAAGGCCAGGCAAGAGACTTCAAGCAGGCATTTGAGTATTTGTGACATATGTTTTCAGATGGTCCCAGGAGGGACCAAAGGATAGAATTTGGACAAGAGATATAAGAACATCATCCCTAAATTCCAAACAGCAGGCAGGCCTCCACAGTCTGATACCCAGGCTCTGATTGTCACTTGTTTGTTCCTGTGACAGAACCTGCCTGCTATCATCGCTGTTTTAAGTGTTCTTCCTCTCTGCTGTTACTGCAGCTTAGAGGGAACGAGCATGGTTTCAGTAGGAATTGGTGACTGTGGCTAGAGTTAGAAATCATTAAAAAAGAGCCCTGGCAGCTCAAAAATGCCAGTTTAAAATTATCTTCAATGTTGCTTCATTCTCACATTCAATCCCTCTCAAATCCCACAGGTGGCTACCTCCACGTGTGTCAAGTACCTGACGAATGGTCCATGCTAAACAACGTCAAGGATTGGCCTCATTTCATAAAAGCACCTCAAATTACTTTGGAAATACTCATTGCCCCAATTTTGCCCTTAGGAATCTGTTTAGGAATTTCTACATTATCTCCTCACAATTGCCTTAGAAAAAATGATAACACAGATGTTTAGGCTTGCATAGTAATTAATGCTTTATGAACATGGTTGATACTGATACAGCATCCATCTTGGTAACAGAGTTTTTTCTTTGGATTATAGGTGTTCATGTGTTTGGACTATGCTCCACAGCTCTGATTACAGATATCATACAACTGTCCACAGGATATCAGGCACCATACTTTCTGACTGTGTGCAAGCCAAACTATACCTCTCTGAACATATCTTGCAAAGAAAATTCCTACATTGTGGAGGATATCTGCTCAGGATCTGACCTTACAGTTATCAACAGTGGCAGGTTAGAAACTAAGATGGAAAGCATTCCATCTTAAGCATGCCTTTTTTCCGTCATGATGATTTTGATGTTGTTTTTCTTTTCAATACAACAATCTCATCAATGACTATAGCATAGAAAACCATTGGCAGCTCTCTGCAAACGCTTCTCTTGGTTTCCAAGAGAAGCTTCGGCTTCATACTCTCTCTACTAGTCCCGGTATTGCTGACCTCCACCCATGCACTGTGATCTGCTCATCATGGTTTTAGACACCACAATTTGTTCATTATAGGATATTTATGGTAGCTTAACAGCAATAGATGCTTTGTAGTGGCTGAAGTGAAAGACTAAACATCTACGATTGTTATCTATCTCTCCATTCTTCTTTTATCAAAGAATCATGTTAATTTTCCCTTTGGTAGAATTTAAGGCAGTGTAATATCTGAGGTGGCAGGTGTTTGCTATAAATATCTAAACAACTTCTGGCCTTCCATTTCAGAAAGCAAGGAACAGAAAAACTCAAGAAACTACTACTCCATTGAATTTTTCCAATCAATAAAGTAAAAATACAAAGTACCAAAAAAAGCTCAAAAGAAATAAATGCCTGAGGAATACGGCCATTAAATGACTATCATAAGACTTGGAGTTGTCATGCAAATGAGTTCTCAAAGATCTATTGAAGTGTGAAAAATAAGTTAATAAATGTAGTTGAGGAATCAGCACTGGTAAAATATGTGATTGTACTCACTCAAGTTGTTATAGACCATTCAATAATTTTGGACCTATATTTAAGACCTGTGTCCTCTACTCTTTCTCAACCCTGTTCTATTATTTGTTATGTAATAAATACCAAATAATTAGGAGAGCACTAATATATGTGAATTTTATTTTTTCCAGTTTTTAAGCCATTGTAAGAAATCTCTATTGTCTCTTTGCCTTTCCTTTCAGTGTCTCTTCCACTATCCTGTGTTCCAGTCCTTAAACCCTACTCCTTAAATTGTTTAACGAAATAGAATGTTCTATGACTCTTGAGGAATAATACTCTTAAAGCAAAATATGCAGAGAAACATTTTGCTAAAATTAGACTTTTCTTATATGTCCTAGAGTGTACGAACATATTTAGAGCTACTGCTCAGAACACTATTTAGTCTTTTAAACATTTAAGTAAATGAAAGTATATTTTCAGGAGCATATAAAAAGTCTAAAGCTTGAAAACCCTAAGTTTTATGAACATTTAGCTTAAATTGGCATAATTCTAAAAGCACAGAACAATGGCCATGTTCTTTTCTACTTTCAAACATCATTTCTACAGTATAATCAAATGTTCCTTTGCCATCAGAGTACATACTGTTCCTGAAAACGACGTCACTCCTATTCTTTAATACTAAGGGTGATTAGCGGTGTTATTCCCAGAAAACTAAACATAAGTTAAAGTTATGGCTTTATGGCTTCCGGTTGAACATCTGAACCATTCAGGGTCTCTGAGATGGTTGTGAGCGCTGTATCTGAGCTGAAAGGTATAATTTGATTGTCTTCTTTTGGCAGAAAATCATTCCCTTCTCAACATGCAACCCTAGCCGCCTTTGCAGCTGTATACGTTTCGGTAAGTAACTGGCTCTTTTTGGTTAAACTGAGTCCCATAGAAAATCAGAGGACTGAGTGTTGTTCTCAGATAACTAATTAGATTATAAATGTAAGCATACCAGCCCCTGAATACATTGATATCAAAAGCAAAAAAGAGATGCTGCTATTGAAAAAGAACAGTAGAATTTTCCACGTCATGTTATTTAACCTTTAAATGCAGTATTATTCTCTGTGGGAGGGCGTTGTGAAATACATGAGTGCTACAAATACTTCTACTATTTGGAAGGATTGTATTAAGTACACAAAGTCAGGCACAATACTTTCAGCAGTTATGTAATGTTGGTGAGTTCTAGGCAGTGTAAATCTGATAAATGTTGAACAACAAGTAGTCATTGTACTGATTAACACAGTAGCCCTGGAAATCTTTTGTGAGTGAAATGGACTAGAATTAAGTGACAAGTAATATGGAGATTAAAGTTATCTGGTGATTCTTCTGCTTCAAGACTTTTCAGACTTTCACATAACTCGATGAGGGAGTATTATTTATTTGAAGAATTGTCATGCATTTCCCTCCTGGGCAGGTAGAGAACGTAGCCATAGTGGGGGAAATGGGACAGCAAAACTGAGGTCAAGTGTGTCAGTCAGACTTGAGTTTCACTACTTATTTGATTAGAAACTTCTAATAAGATGGCCTGCCTAGCATACCTCATTCATTTCTCTCACTTTTCAGATGTACTTCAATTCCACGTTAACGGACTCCTCCAAGCTTCTGAAGCCTCTCCTGGTCTTCACCTTTATCATCTGTGGGATCATCTGTGGGCTGACCAGGATAACTCAGTACAAGAACCACCCAGTCGACGTCTACTGTGGCTTCTTAATAGGAGGAGGAATTGCACTGTATTTGGTAAATGCTTTATTGTTATTATTTGATAATTTGATAAACTACAGTTTAAAATGGAAAAACATACATAAAATACTTTGCACAATGGTAATTTACTTGCAATATATTTTATATTCAATAAAATAACTGTTGAACTCTTGCTGTGAACCAGAAATTGTGGTTTGAGAAGAATGGTTGTATTTTAGACTTATAGCAAGTAGAGGGAGGGGATGGAGAGAGAGAGAGAGACTGTTGCTACTAATACAATAATAATTTCACAGATGAAAAAGGGTGAATGTTAGTGAAAGAAGAAATGGTGAAAATGAGGATTTGGTAAAACATTATACAATTTTCCCAACAACACAAATGTAACACCTAAATGTAACTATATTCAACTAACAGTTGAATTCCTTCTGATACTTGCAACCTGGTCTCCAAGAGAAATGTCTGCAGCCCGAGGACACTGAGATTGTTCATCTCATTCAGTCATGCCATTCACCCGCTTAACATTTATCATTATCTACTCATTGCCAGGTGCTATAATGAACATCAAAACAATGAAAAATAAGATGCATTCTTTAGAGGTTCACAGTGTAGAGACTAACATACACAAAAATGTTTACAAGATGTTAAGTAATATAACACTATTGACACAGTGCCTTGGGAATAGCAAACTACCAAAGAATAAGGAGAAGGCTCCACAGAAGTGATGTGGTTTTAAAAAAAAAAAATTAGTGTTTCTTAGTGTAAGGAAAAGAGGAAGGAGCCTGTTGCCTGTGGCTCGAACCTGTAATCCTAACTATTCAGGAGGCAGAGATCAGAAAGATCAAGGTTCAAAGCCAGCCCAGGCAAATAGTTCATGAAACCCTATCTTGAAAAAAACCCATCTTGAAAAAGAGTTCAATGTATGGGCCCTGAGTTCAAGCTCCAGTACCACAAAAAAAATGGAGGAAGGATATTGAAGGAGAAACTACACATGCAAAGAGACAGGCATTTGAAAGAGCAAATACAAGTGAAGGTGAGGGAGCAGGAGGAATGAGAGATACTGGTCAGATTTCTAGCTTAGAAAAAGACTGAATTGATGTCTTTACTAACAGACCAGTTGAGTGACACAGTAAACAGAATGGTAGGGGAAAGAGAGTTAATGAGCTAAACTGAGTCAATACCGAGTTGAATAATTGTGTCTGGAGTTCAGAAGAGCAATCAGTGTCGGATAAACAGATTTGGAAATCACAGATGTTTGTTGGTAGAAGCTATCATTGTCATTATTTGGGGTACATAAAATTATCAGGCCATGAGAATATAAAGGTCAATAGGAAAGTGATGCACATAAGAAAAGGCAATAATGAAAGGAACTGACAGGAGCAGACAAAGAGTTCAAACCCCAGTATGTGAGCAACAATAACAAAAAAAAAAAGGTAGCTGGTGCCCCATATAATACTGTGAACCTATAATCCCAGCCCTCAGCAGGCTGAGACAGGAGGATCACAAGTCAGAAGCCAGCTTTCACTACATAGTGAGACCCTGTCTTAAAAAAACAAACAAACAGCAACAATGAAAAAAGATAAGTTGAAGAGACAGCTACCTATTCCATTTCTGATTCCACCATGTGCCCTGAAATTGGAAATGTATCAGTACCAAGCTTGTTCCGTTGTTCATTATTAAGCATTCCACAAAATGTAAAACCCATGCAATTCTGTTGCTTAGACTTAGAGAGCAGACCATGGCCACCTTCTATCAAAATGAACACACAAGCAGATGTGAGCTGCTTGATCTGATCTTTAACACAGAACCTCAAAAAATGAAAACCCAGCAGCCATGAAATCTCCTGTGTGGAAAAAAAAAAAAAAAAAGCTCATCCATTTGAGTCTGAACTGTAACCTTTTCTGAATCCAAAACAAACAAAATTTGATAGACTGAGTATGACGTCGAAATGAAATAAAATTTGGCTCATGTTTAGTATAATGTATAATAACACTGATGAGCCCAATTTTCCAACTGAAGATCACATTTAAATCAGGAAAGAAGATGGGTGCTTCAGCCTGGTAATAGCTTCTGCCCTCTCTGCCACAAGCATTCTGTCCTAAACACACCAGGCTGAACTCAGTGTGAGCTGTAACAATGTAGGTCTCTGACCTCATTTCAAAACCAGATACAACAGTTTTACGGAAGATCCACTGTTTTGTATTTTCTGCAAGTCTTCTGTTTTACATCATCAGTTATCAGTGAAAATGAAAGGCAAAATAAATCATTTAAGCTGTGTGAGTTGCCACTCCTGAAGGAGCTCCTAAATCCAGAAAAATGAATTGCTCAGAAAGGCAGAAGAGTGCCCTGATTCCTCTCACTGTCTGCTTTTTCTTCTCAAAACACACGCAGGGTTTGTAGGGAAACGGATGTGATCCATCTTTCTGAAAAGCAACTAGCTCAGCAATTTATTGCATAGCTTTACCACCTATTGGTGTTAGCAATGGACAGGAAGTGCTACTTCCCTGGGTGCTCTAAGGGAAACTTTGTAACTGCTGTGGCTCCTGATTCTTGCTGTTTTCCCTTGAACCCTAGGGCCTATATGCTGTGGGGAACTTTCTGCCTAGTGAAGACAGTATGCTGCAGCACAGAGAAGCCCTTAGGTCTCTGGCAGACCTCAACCAAGACCCCAGCCGGGTTCTATCAGCTAAAAATGGCAGCAGCGGTGATGGCATTGGCATTGCTCACACAGAAGGCATCCTCAACCGAAACCACAGGGATGCTAGCTCCTTGACCAACCTCAAAAGGGCCAATGCTGATGTAGAGATCATCACTCCGCGCAGCCCCATGGGCAAGGAGAACATGGTCACCTTCAGCAACACGCTGCCCAGAGCCAACACCCCATCGGTGGAAGATCCTGTCAGGAGAAACACGAGCATCCATGCCTCCATGGACTCTGCGCGGTCCAAGCAACTCCTCACCCAGTGGAAGAACAAGAATGAAAGCCGCAAGATGTCCCTTCAAGTAATGGACTCTGAGCCTGGGCAGTCTCCACCCAGGTCCATAGAAATGAGGTCAAGCTCAGAGCCATCGAGAGTGGGCGTGAATGGAGACCACCATGGTCCTGGCAATCAGTACCTCAAGATCCAGCCTGGCACTGTCCCCGGGTGTAACAACAGCGTGCCCGGGGGACCACGTGTGTCCATTCAGTCCCGCCCTGGCTCCTCTCAGCTGGTGCACATCCCAGAGGAGACCCAAGAAAACATCAATACCTCCCCTAAAAGCAGCTCGGCTCGGGCCAAGTGGCTGAAGGCGGCTGAGAAGACGGTGGCCTGCAACCGAGGCAACAGCCAGCCTCGTATCATGCAAGTGATCGCCATGTCCAAACAGCAGGGTGTCCTCCAGAGCAGCCCCAAAAACGCAGAGGGCAGCACAGTCTCCTGCACTGGCTCCATCCGCTACAAAACCTTGACTGATCATGAACCCAGCAGTATCGTGAGAGTCGAGGCCCACCCTGAGAACAACCGGCCCATCATCCAGATCCCATCCACCGAAGGGGAGGGCAGTGGTTCCTGGAAGTGGAAAGCCCCCGAAAAGGGCAGTCTACGCCAAACTTACGAGCTCAACGACCTCAACAGAGACTCGGAGAGCTGCGAGTCCCTGAAAGACAGCTTCGGCTCTGGCGATCATAAGAGGAGCAACATTGATCCCAGCGAGCATCACCACCATGGCATCACCACCATCCGCGTCACCCCGGTGGAGGGCAGTGAGATCGGTTCAGAGACCCTGTCCGTCTCGTCCTCGCGCGACTCCACCCTACGGAGAAAGGGTAACATCGTTCTAATCCCTGAAAGAAGCAACAGCCCCGAAAACACTAGAAACATCTTCTACAAAGGAACCTCCCCCACACGGGCCTATAAGGATTGAGTGATGGCCTCTCGATCACATTGGGAGACCCCCCCCCCCGAAAGACCACGTGTTGCCTCTACCTGTACTCTCTCTGCTCCAGAAGTTTGGGAAGCCGTCTTGCCAAACTAGATTGTTCACCATCAGCCCTGAACTCTGTGACTCTAGCAAACTCGCACACTAACCTTGTAGATTTTACATCCAGAGTAGGGGAAGGGGGGGGACAAGATGCACGACTCTAACTTATGGGTTAATGTGAAGAATTTTCTTAAGACCTGTCATGAAATTCAAAAGGATTTGCAGAGGGCAGTATCAAAAGAAAGTGGTTTCCTTCCATGCATACTATTTAACTTCCCGAATGTGTCAACTTTGGGGATTTTTCTTTCCAATGAGCTGTGGGAATCCAGAACACACAGGCGTTCCCTACAGCAGAGGTCACGCAGTATTATATATTATTCATGTTGCAGAATCTGTACCTGAAGCTCAGTCTGGGTGGTGCTGACTATTACCGTACATATACTATTTAAACTCTCAAAATTCTACTTAGCTGTGAAATAGTGGTGTGCAATTCCTTGTCAAAGAAATGCTACTTTATTTAGAAGATGCTGGTTATTTTGTGTTAGGATAGGAAATCTGCAGCTTCCTGCTAGTGGCTGGCTCACAGTCAAACAATGAAAAGTTTATGTGAATTTCTTTCTTCAACATTGAAAATTGTGTAGGCATATTTTCAGTGAGAGAATAGCTAGTACTTTTCTGCATCATTTTTCTGCTGCATACTTTTGCTTTAAGTTACAGGTACAGCTAGTAAGGAATCTGTCCTTTACTGAGTATATTCATATAATTTAAAAATATTGTTTTAGAGAATCTGTTGAGATCGTTGTGACTATATTTTGCATTTTACAGCTTCTGCTTCATTTACTGATTTATTTGACATTATAGATATGTTCTCCTATTTTAAAAGCAAAAAATAAGTTTATATTCCTTGAACAAAATATACTGCTGTGAAGTTATAAACAACAAATCTGAGCCAAAAGTTGACATCGTGAGTTACACGACCAAAAATGTTGGTCAAGTCTATTCTTAGATGTTTCTAGCCACTGGCTTAGGTTACCTTCTTAACAAGTCACCTAAAAATTTCATTCTGTTTCAGATTATTAGCTTTTCTCAATATCCTGATAGCCAATAACTTAGAGACACGGTGGTTGGGTTTTTATCCTTTTCCCTAAAATATTTTTGGTAATTAGACATCAACAGGAAGAATCTGTAAAACACAAACTGATATGTAAAAGCATCTCACAGTATAAACTAAGAACGTATTTCTTTGAAATTTCTGAATAGGTATGGCTTTAGTGCTTAACATGCAATCAACAGTTTTTACTACCTATCTTGAATTAAGCCTTGAACCTAAATCAAAGGAAATCAGTACTATCAATAACAAGAAAATAAAACAAAATATTTTGAAGTGTTTTCCAAGTAGAATATTTAAAATATGAAGAAATATTTGGTTCTTGGAATTTAATATCAAGCCTTTTTTACACCATTTCTTAAGAATTCTAATGTACATTTGATGATTGCCAAGAGGAAAGGAGGAAAACAACAGAACAAGAGTCATTCAAAGGTGAATAGTGTCACATCATTATCACTTTCTACATGAGAAGGGCAGAGCTTTCTAGAGAAGGCAACCTCTTAGACATTAGGAATTGAGCTGAAACCAGCAGAATTGAAAACTCTGGCAATAAAATTCAGATTCAACCATATCCCTTCTGGCAATTTCCTTCTCAGAGAGGGAAGTGGGAGTAAACTGTTGCCTTCCCCACTTCTTACTATCACCACCATCATGACACTCCTCCTGGCTTCTGCCGGTGCACAGAGGGAAGGGTGGACTGGCTTTAGTACTCCGAAGAAAAACTAAACTGCAGCATTTCAGGTGCAGTGTGATATTTCCTAATCTTTCCTATTTCTTAACAAAAAATTTTAAAGTACTTCTCTAGTCATTGATTTTGTTTTCTTTACATAATATTGATATATTCTTTTTCTACTCAAAGTGCCAAAGGCTACAGTTTTTAATGACTTAACAAATTGTACCACATTGTTAAGGGAGTATAGTGATAGACACTAGAACTCAGACCTCTGCATGTAGATTTGATAACACATCTTTTGTAAAAAAAAAAATGGCAAAAAAAAATTTGTTTACATTCCACTGGTACCTTAATTTAAACTAAATCAGACTAACAGGTGGTATCTCTTCTTAGTGTTCTATTTATCTTATTTGCGAGTGAGAGCACTTCTTTCTTTGTTAGGCTGTGCTTCATTGACAAAACCAAGTATTGAATAAAGAGAGTTAATTATCTTTTTAAAGTAAATAAAATTATGAAGATATAATATATATATATAAAGTATTGTGTTTAATAAAATGTTATGCAATGTTTTCCAAACTGATAAAGTTTGTAAAGTGCTATAAATGTATTTTGTTAAGTACAGAGCAAAGCTATTGTGTGAGTATATTGTGCTAACATCATAGAAATAAAGATTAGATTTCTTCACCAAATTTGGGGTATTTTGTTTTTTACTTTGGACAGAGTATGAATGGATAATAACTTGGCTGATAGGAAAACTGCTGAGGAAATAAGTATAAATCAAAATTGATGAAATTCATAATTGTTTGGAAGAATACTACATGAAAAACTTTTTCACTAAGAAAGAAAAATTGCAAAACTAGGACATGTTTTCTTGTTTGAATTTTATTTTATATTAATTAACAGAGTTCTTTACACTTACTTAGACACAGATTTTTTTTTTCACGTATCCATGTTACAGCATATAAAAAAGAAATTATGAGTCAGGGTCAAGTGTTCTGAGTCAATTTTTTGACTAGCAGTCATGTACATGCATATTTTCCCAGGCATTATTCCCATTGGTAAGCATTGGTGTGGCAGCTTTTCTTAAAAGATTACTTCACTATTAACTCCAGGTTTTTCTTCCAAGCCATTGGCACCCATTAAGTGAATTTTATTACTGATGCTTCTACATCTTATTAGAAGATATTAACATAAGTTTTTTAGACCACAACCAGGATTTATGCTTTCATCAGTTGACCCTTAAGTGGTATGTTGAATGAAACAAGGCAGTATAGTTGTCTAGGAATGCCACCAAGTTGCAGCCATTGTTGGACAATCCAGCTGGCCAACAGTGATCAAGTTTATGAATACCAAGCAGCTACGAGATGACTGCTGCCCCGCCAACAGCCACTGTAAGCTGCTGTTAATTGTAAGAAACATCCCGGTCTTAGAGAAGTTAAAACATGAAAAACGTGTATCATAACTATTAAAATATACTCTTTAGCTACAGTATCTATTCTAAGGGATATTCAGAAGTCCCTTATAAATTTCTGTGAATTATCATTATTTATTTTATCCAGTAAACAAAACTACTGGTAAAAAAATATGTATGTGATGAGAACACTGAAGATCTACCGTCTTAGCAAATTTCAAATACATAGTGTGGTACTACTTAGTCACAGCATTCTTCATCAAACTTCCGGAATTTAATCAGTCTGAAATTCTTACCCTTTGATCAACATCTCCCAATTTCTCTGATTCTCCAAACCCCAGCAACTACCTTCTTATCGGGATCTTGCATTGAGCAATTGTTCTTCATTTTGGTAAGGTCCGATGTCTCTTTTCCCTTTATGAGCCATACTCTTAAGGTCAAATCAAAAACATATACAGAATTCTTTTTTTTTTATTCATATGTACATACAATGTTTGGGTCATTTCTCCTCCATTCCTCTCCCCTCCCTTACCCACCCCACCGCCTCCTCCCTTACCTCCACTAACCCCTCACTACCTGGCAGAAACTATTTTGCCCTTATTTCTAATTTTGTTGAAGAGAGAGTATAAGCAATAATAGGAAGGAACAAGGGTTTTTGCTGGTTGAGATAAGGATAGCTATACAGGGCATTGACTCACATTGATTTCCTGTGCGTGTGTCTTACCTTCTAGGTTAATTCTTTTCGATCTAACCTTTTCTCTACTTCCTGGTCCCCTTTTCCTATTGGCCTCAGTTGCTTTTAAGGTATCTGCTTTACTTTCTCTGCGTTGAGGGCAACAAATGCTATCCAGTTTTTTGGGTGTCTTACCTATCCTCACCCCTCCCTTGTGTGCTCTCGCTTTATCATGTGATCAAAGTCCAATCCCCTTGTTAGAAAACATACATAGAATTCTTAAATCTCAACAGTAAAAACTTCATTAGCACAATAAACACAGAAGCAGTAAAAGTAAAATTAAAAGTCAGCAAAAATATGTACAGATGCTATACACACACTGAAAATGACACATGTATGCCAAGCCTGCTCTATCAGTGACAAACAAGGACAGGAAAACCAAGATGTCCTTCAATGTGTGAATGGCTAAACAAACTGTTGTACAGCCATACCACAGAGTACAATTCAGCCATCAAAAAAGACATGATCTACTGATACACATAACAACTTGAAGGAGTCTCCAGGGAATTATGCTGAATGAAAAAGTCAATGCCAAACCCCTAAAATACTGCATGAGTCCATCTCATAAAATAAATAGTACAGAAATCACAACCTCGTATTTGGAGAGAGAGATTTGCGATCTTTAACACATGGGCTCCCAAGTCTGCTCTAATTGCCACAATTTCCCAACAAGAATGGAGAGTGGGAGAGATGAAGTCAAGGATAAGCAGTTTCATCTTCAAGAAGGGCCATCCATTGTCTATAAACCACCCACCTGGCCAGGACTGTGTCACTTTGCTTGCTTTATGTTTAGTCCCCTTTATCCTTCAAGGCTACATCTTAACCTTTCTTTATACCATTTTAGAACTGAAGGTACTTGAGATGTCACTACTCCCTTCAACTATAATCACAATTATCTATGTTGCACACATGAGAAAATTAGAGCATGCAGAGAAGATATTTACTCAGCCACACAACTGGTGGGTGTCAAGGAAGATTTATCTTCTGTTCACTTTTTAATCATCATTAGCACATCGTTCCACCACATAGGTTAGGTACCCAATAAGCATTTTGAATGAATGAATCTTCCCACTCCAGAACGAGAACATTTGTCACAAGGGCTAACCTATCCCCACTTTTCTAGAAATACTCTTAGCTCTTTGTGTTGCAGGATTAACAGATTTGCTTAACCAGACAATTTGTATTATTAACCAAATTAATCAATTTGACTAATGTGGTGTTTAATATTTATTACACTCTAAATTACAAGCTCATCATGAGAAGTTCCCACTACAATAGGTGTTCAATAAAGTTAAAAGTAATTGAATGAGTACAGTATGTTCCATGTATTGTGAATAAAAAAAATTAAATAATAGAATTTCATACATAAAGGAAACTATGGGAGCATTTGCAAGAGAAAGAAATGGTTGTTTATTTGATTGTGCCCTGAA